TACCTTTACTTACTTTTATTATTATTATTATTATTATTATTATTATTATCATCATCGTCAGTATTAGTATTATTATTACAAACTCCGTGTAGTCTGCAAGCAAATTATACTGACTGAGCAGCCACCGCTTGTCGGTGAAGTTAGTGCCAACTTTTGCAGATAGAGGGTATTGTGTGGGTAGCGCAACAGATCCCCACGGCCATTAATCTCGGTTTTCTAGACTGGAGCCGCTATTTCCTTGAAATAGTTTCTCAGTTATCCTCACGAGGCTGAGTGGACCCTGTTCCAGACACCCCTACTTCTCAGAAAATCTGGTAGCGCCGGGAATCGAACCCGGTACCTCTGGATCTGTAGCCAAGAACTCTGACCACTAGACCACAGAAGCAGTCCAGTATTATTATTATCATCTCTTGTCACAGGTTTATTTCCTGGTATTCCTTTTCTTGAACCAGTGATGCACCTCACCACTCATGCTTCAAGCTTCGCACTATAGCACTTTCCGTAGTATGTGTAATGTTCCCAGGATAGCTGTTTTTTACAGTGAATCTATGGAGTGCTTACCAGGAATTAGTTCCAAATATTTTCTCAACCCTCTCATGACTGTACCCGTGGCTGAATTTAATCAATGTATATTTAGTTTTAAGCAAAAGCTTTTTCAACCTTTGATGTTATAGCTCAAAATAACAAATCTGAAAGTTTGTGGAAGCAAGCAGTAGTGGCCTACTTAGGAGTACTATCTTGGCATTTGCTTTGAGGGACTGATGAAAACCATGAAAACCTCAATCAGGACTGAAGATGCCCAGGGCAAGATTCCAAGTGTGCACCCCCAAATGCAAGTTAGATGTGTTACTAATGACCCAAGTTGCAATGCAAAAGAGAAACAGTAGTTATAATGCCCATATTATGGTGCCTTCATTTATGGAGGCCTTTTAAACATTTGAAGGGATATATTTTTGATAGAAATATGTGAAGAGAGTGCACAATTAGGTGACTGGGAGAAGAATAGACTGCTTGATATATTTACGTTAAGCCTGTACTCTTAGGTTGGTTATAATGTTTGAAGATTGTAAGGCTGGGGTAAGTAGGGAAATGTAATATCAGGAACACATTCAAGTCTTAAGAATGTGAAGTGGATTTCCTGAATTTCTAATTATGGTTTGTAGTGTCTGCATTGGAAAGTAGTTATTCTTCTTCATTTTTGCTCCTCCCCCACTGTGCTTCATTTAATATGCTCTTACTCTTACACATGGTGTTGCAAGACGTACTGTGAACCTGTTTCTTATTTCTAGAAGATGTATGCATTAGGAATAACAGTGGGTACAAAATTAAAGGTAGAATACAGTAGACATCACACTGGTTTTCTTTACAAAAGACATCACTAATAATGTAACAATGGCTGTTAATTGTATAAATACACACAGTTGTGATGTCTTCATTATTTTTTTATTGTGTTTTTAGCTAGAGGATTTAAAATTTGTATATGATTTTAAAGTCATTGTTTGTTCATTAATGCTTCAGTTGGGTTGGGTTGCTGAGGCAAGGTAACCATTAGTACTGCAAATCATGAATAATAGAAATTTGCATGGAGGTTTGGAAGAAAATTAATTATATTTTTGCATGTCTTAGACTATTCTCTTTTTTCATGAACTTGCCTTCTGGTTAGGATTGTGTGAAAGTTTCTGCCATATATTGGTTACACAATTTTCATCTTTTAAAAATTAATTTCAGATGTCACATATCAAATTAAAATAAATTAACATGAAAGTAACTATAGTTCCATTCAGAGACTGGTTTGAGCATACTTTCTGAAACTGGTATTACCTCATACAGCATTTTAATGGGTATATAATTTTATTTTAATTGTGACTCATTCTATCAATTAGAAAGTGAAGTAAATGGTAATGGTAATGGTAAAAAGAAGTGGCTGTCTGAACAATCTTCAACCCTTGACACAAATTTACTGTACAAGTTACGTTTTTGTTCCCTCCTATGGCTAAGCTAATGGTTCCTATAAAAGTAGTTGAAATTGATAAGCAATGCAGGAGTTTTTAAGCATGTAGCTATTGTGCTGTCATTGTTTGCTTTCATTTTATGCAAGGAAGTACTGTGCACAGTTAATTTCTATATTGTGATTATGTGCATGGATTTCATTGGTAGAGGCTGTAATATATGTTGCATCAATTTAAAAGACAATATGACTGAAAGAAAATGAGAAATCTGTAATAGCCATTACTGGTAGATTCCTGCTTTAAAGAATGATATTTATATGCTGAATATGGGATATGCTTAAACATTAGAATTTTAGGTTATGACAAGCTCAACAGTGTTGTTTCATCACTGCCTTGAATTACTGAGTCATCTTTCCCTGTGACCTATGCAATAATATTGGCTGGCTGCCTAAAATATGGTGAAATTCATATAGTATAATTAATTCAATTTTTACCACACTACTTAAAATGTTATCAACTCTTTTAAGGTATATGTTCAAGGACATTGTATATACTGATATGGAGGTGGAGAAATATTGTTTCATCAGAGGCCAGATTTGTGTCTAGATGGAAGATGGTGAATATAATTTAAGTAATGTCTTGTGCTCAGTACTATAGATTTTTGTTATAACTCCTAAATGGTGTTGCAACACTTGATGCACGTCATTTTGGGTGTTCTTTAATTTCCAACAATCAAGAGCATTATGGTTCAAAATCTTGTGGTATAATATATACCAGTTCAATAATATAGCCCGTTTTCTTGTTCCTGCAGTTGTTATACCATGCCTAGTTTATATGATGAGACCTTAAATGTTGCTGCTGTAAGAAAATCCCTGCTTCAAAGTAATATAATTTAAGTATATCACTGTTGCATAAATTTCCTCCATTTACTGCCATACAGTGTCCTTGAGCACATCTTTTGTAGTTCAGTTTCTCAGATAAGCAGAAGTCATATGCATAGCAGTAGATTATCTCCTTTTAAACAGTTGTTAAACTTTCTTAAGGGAAGTTCTGGTATTTCACATTACCTTCACAAGTAACAGAATGTTTGAATAGGTTGTGAGTTCCATGTATCTAGTGCAATTTTTAGTGTACTGTCTGTAGATAAGAATCTATAAAGCTAAGCTTATAATGTGCAAACTAGAATAGGGCAACACAATGTGGATCATGCCAAGCCAAGTTGCTAAGTGTCTGCTATGCAGTTGTCAGATAATGCCCATAACTTGACAGTCTCTAAATAAGGCCAGCAAGGGGTTTTACTTAAATGTTCTGCAGTTAAATTATCTGCCAGTTTCCTACTCTTCTGTATCCTTTGAACATATCCAAAGGCATTTGTTTCAGCAATTTTTTGATAATATAATGAATAATTGAATGTATTTAGTAGGATTTGAAGTTCTCAAAGCAGTTGTTATGGAGAGTTCTATCTTCTGGGATGTAACACTGTATAGTCTGTTGAAAGTTAACTAATATTTTAGAGGAATGTGTTGTCTCCATCTTCAGGGTTGAAGAGTAAGCCAAGCTTGCTTGCTGCATATTTATCATATTTTAATTCTGTTATATTTTTATCTTCTTTTAAAACCTAATGAGTGATTTAAACAAACTTTCAAATTGTAACTTAGAAAAATGGCTCTCATTATATGTATGAACTGTACTCAAATTGACAGTGAATGGTAAAGGAGTTCGGGTTTTGTTCAGAGTCTGATATATACTTTTCATGGCATACTTGAAGATAAAACTGCATTGTTAATCAGGTGAGAGCAGTACATTTAAGTATCTCCCACAAGTAACATTTCTGTACTGTTCTTGTATTCATTACATAAGAGAATATTGACATATTTTTCTTGTTACAGAAATCACTGAATGAAATGGGAAGTGAAGGGTAATTGAATAATATTGAGATTATGGTGCTTTTTGTTCTGAATAATGCTGTGCACATTTAGACATTAATACAAGAGAATGTAAGTACGTAAAATGAGCAGTAACTTCAGCAATCTTGTAACTTGCCAAGCAGCTCATGGATGGATTCTTTTTAAAAGATCTCTAATATTCATGCTTATGCACAGGATGTTTGTTAAATTCCTTAGCTCTTCCATATCAGGTACACATAACATATTCACATAGAAAATATATGTATGTGATCATGCATACCTGTTACATATTCATGAGTACTGTAAGCATTTATTGTTATGCAGTAATAGCACTGTACAGACTTTGCTGGTAGCATATGTCTCATATTCCTTTGGTTAGAGAAGTATTAATTTAATAATGCTTTTAGAATCATTTCTGTCAAGGCCACATGCAGCATTATGACTAAGCCATTGTCCAGATAAATGTAAATGTTAGCACCAACACCAAGTGTAGTTTTAGAATTTTATTTTGTCAAATAATTAAACATGTTTTTTAGAGTTAAATGTCAGATAGTTAACATCTGCAGTATTTATCTTAGAGACATGGCAGATATAAACTGTTGCTTATCTGTCAAGTACAGCTGGTAGCAGATATTAGGGTTTATAATATAGTCACACTAGTTGAGTCCATTTAACTTTTCCTTAAACTGTTAGAAGCATTTATGAATGCATTTTTAGACAATGTTGTTATTGCTGTTGTTGTTATTGTTATAAGATAGTCAGGTTATTTTGTACATTGTCACTTTTGTATATACTCATAGGCATAAGAATAAGTGCTGGAATAGAGGTCAGGCTCTAGCCAGTATGACAAAGGACTGCTAGTCACCACAGTAGGAAAAGCATATATGCAATAACTAATTCAAGGAGTGAAGTATAACATACAGCAAACTCTCTTTATTATCTGCATTAAAGGAAGGGAGAAGCACTGCAGATAATTAAAACAATGGATACTCCAGAAATCTGAATATACTCATTTTCTAGGTTGAATTTGACCTCGAAACAATTTAATTATCACTTACTGGTTAGCTGCTGGTCAGTAAACAGTAAGACCAATATCTGTCCAATGGAAGAAAACAGCCCTTATTCAAAGGTAGTAGGCTGATCTGAAACATAATAAAACAACAAACAGCAGGCTAAGAAGTTGTACAGCCTACTGCATATCAATATAAACAATCACTGATAAATGTCACTGAAATAGATATAATTGTCAACACTTCAGTCATTACAGGAAGCTACAGGTCTATAAGATCCACATTTAATCTGCATATGGGTAATCGAGAGCCTACTGTACTCTGTTAATATAGTTTATGCTAGTTTTAATTATAAATATAAATGCATATACTGTGTTACTTCAAATAGATGCACATTTTACACTGTTTTTTTTTTCCATTCAAAATTTGAGGTACATCTTAAATTCGAGGAAAATGCACCTTTCTAATTTTTCCACAAAACCCACATTCAGAAATTGGATGCATCTTAAATCTGATGGCGCCTTATATTCGAAGTAACACTTAAGTTTAAAGTAAAGTAATATATGTAACTGTCCAACTACATAAATGCCTATAGGGATTTTTATTTAATTTCAGTCATAATTTATTATTCATATTTATACATGTTGAACAAAGTATATACAGATGTACCAAATATTCCAGTCAAACAGTAGCACTCCTATTGCCTGTTCTGAGGTCTCAGGTTCAAATTTTGACCCAGAGATCACCTATCCTAATTGAGGTTTCTCATGACTTTCTTAAGTTTCCAAGAAATCGCCATGATAGTACCTCAAATTAGGCCATGACCATTTCCGTCCACATTCTTTCATATTCATTTTTCATTAATCCTTCTCTGCCATTCAGTGTTATTTAATTTAATCTGCTTATAGCATCATTAGCTAATTTTTCTTTTCTAAAGCATGAATACCCATGAATACACTTTGAAATTTTAACACACTTAAGCCATACACTTGCCCAAATGAAGTGTCGTTTGTAATTTACAACTGTTCTTAGCTTCTCTAGATTGTTATAGTTGAGGAAAATGAGTGAGAAGTTTACTTATGAGGAATAATTGCTTCTTTGTATAGATATAGTTTTTGTTTTATGTGTTGAGTACCTGAACTTTCATTCCAGCATTTCTACAATTATATATGCTCATTCCAAATTAGGGCAGTAGAATAACAAAACAGTAGGCACATTATATAACTAGTAGAACCTAGAAGTAAAAGGTAAAGTTGTCCCTGTGCTGAGCTAACCAAGCACCGTGCTTTGAAGGCATAGGGGTGAGTCAATGTATAGATCAACATTTTCTTGATCTCAGCACAAGTTTGAGGTGAACGGTCAGCTTCACACCCAGCTGCTTTACCCCCAGGGAATGTGCCCCCAGTACCCATTCGATAGGAGGCTGGGTGGGCCGCAGAACTGGTCTGGACGGCATGGAGAACAGAAAATTCTTGTCCCTACCTGGAGTCAAACTCCGACCTCTTGGTCATCCAGCCTGTAGGCAGTTACTATACTGACTGCATTACCCCACACCAGAATGTAGAAGTAGTGGATTAAATGATTGTTTAGTCTCCATTCAAAATTATGTCTTTTGGTGTGGTCACAACTGATTTCTCTAGTCTTTCATATCTTGCATATAAATCAGACAAATGTTTGACTTAGATACATTTAATGTAAGAAGTCAGATATACCCAAGAGATGTTTAGACTTATGCAAGCACTCTTAGTTATTTTCTTCATTTTATATTTTTTGTTTAGCCACATATGAATGTTGTCAAAAGACAATTCTTTTCATATGTTAATATTTTTATCTACTCACAAGCATAGCCATAATGCAAAATTCTGGTCATGTAAATTTAAGTAGACTATAGATATTGTATCTAAATTCCACACTACCAAGAATGTTCTGCCATGTTTATGACATTTAAAGATTAAATATCATAATTTCTTCAGGATACTGGTAACTTCATACCTTCCTTGCAGAGCATATAACTGGCAACTTCATACCTTGCAGAACATATAACTGGCAACTTCATACCTTCCTTGCAGAGCATATAACTGGCAACTTCATTCCTTGCAGAGCATATAACTGGTAACTTGTTGACAGTATTGCATTTGTGAGAAAATTCACACACCCTCAGTGAAAGTTTGGACCATTATCTTACACATTATCTGTAGTATTTGTAACACCAGTGCAGCACAAATAAATATCCCATATAAACTATCCAATATAGAAACAATTTATGGTTATTAAAAGCTGGGTTGGGTTCATTTATGCCTAATTTAAATCTCTATTTTACTCTCTCTCTTTTCTTGCATGTATATACAGAAAGTAGAGTGCCTGTTATCCAAATTGCCAATTTACCAAATGACCACAACCAAGAAATGTGGACGTTTTCAAATAAAGTGTTTGAAAATGTTAATTTGTAATTGAATTTATGAACTGTTTATGTTTCACCTGTTTTAAAAGTTTTCTTATTTGTTATTATTATAATAGTGTTATTTGATGGATAAGAATTTAATCCAATTATCCAATTGTCACTAATTAATTCAGATAACCAGCATTCTACTGTATATATAATACTGCGTAAATGTGAACTGTTTTATATTGCTTGCTGATTGCATGACTAAAATTTTCTATTCCTCTTCAGAGTCATGTCACATTGAAAGATGTCAGCTTTACAATATCATTTAACTTATATTAATTGATTTACAAATATCATTTCCTATGCCTAATACCTTTACATTCATATAGTTTTTAACTGTTATCACGTCATATACATTGTCATATGCTGTGTAATACATATTGCATTTCCATAACTATTTGTATATTAGTATAGGTGATTAGTTACTAGTCAGAAACTTATTTGACACAGATTGACGCCTCCATGGACTGCAAACCACTTTATCACTTCCATTTTAACACGTGAACTTCATCTTTGATAGTTAAGTATTAGCCCTTGTACATGTTAGGAAAGTAAAAATCCTATTTCTACTGTATTTAGTAAAATGTAATGAATGGAGTACATCCATAATGCCCTTGAGATTAGCTGTTTTAAATGTAATGCATTTGTTTTCTTATAAACATTCTCGTGTTTTACTGATTTTTCATATCAGAAAATATAAATAGTTGACATTATAACCAAAGTGATGAACAAGAAAAGTACCAATCATTGGGTTTCTTTTCAGATTTAGATATTTCACTTTTAATCCTCTCTCTTTGTGTGTTAGTTATATATGCATGGCATTCCTGACTTGTACTTTTCAACTCAATACTCTAAACGAGGTGTGAAGCTAGACCCCTTGAAAGTAAGCTATGTAATGTGGCAGCTTTGTCTAGTTGCCTTGAGAAACATTCCCAGTAAAATAAGGCGAATTTAATTTTTCCAAAAGTACTTTCTCCTTTTACTTTCTTTAAATATCAGAATTTAATAAGTATGGTGAATTGTTCTATCCACTTTATCCCTACATGAGAAAGAGCCTTTATTGTCAATTCATTTTCATTTCTCTGTTGTGTAATGCAGTGAAATACTAAATATTTTCAGTTTTCTTGTATTAAAATACATTATTTGTAGCAGATGAATGGAAAAGATTTTTGGGTCATACAGTTTCTTTGTATCAGTTATATAAATTGAACGACTTGTTAGTTCATCATAGCTGTGAGAATCTAAAATATTCTGTATGATGCAATTGCTCAGGTATTATGGCCTTGAAAACTAATCATTTAAATGGATTCCAATGTAAAACAAAAGACATGCATATGCAGACCTAATGTGTGTTTATGATATTGGTATTACTGGAACTGATAGTGTAATCACAAAATTGAAAGAAATTGGATTGTTATCCCTTTAATATCTTTTATTAGCTTTTGTTTTCTCCTGTTTAAAATGCTTTGTTCAGTCATGGCTGCCTCTCACCTAAAATGATGTGTAAATGTTCAAATATGCTAACATATTGTGGCATAAACATCTTAATTATGCACTGCATTAGATGATTCAGTTTTATTGTGTTAATATTTATGCCTTCTATAATTTCTCTTAAAAGCTATTCTTTATGTAAGAAGGTTCTCTGTAATTTTCTTTGATCTGTTGTTATTTTTTCCTTCAGAGGTATTCATTGTTTAAATGTTTACATAGATATTGTGATATGAGTTTGAAAGGTGACATCATATTAGCAGTAGGTATTGTTGAGTGAATGTTACTGGAAATCAGAAAGAGAGACTTCTCTCTGTCTTGGCATTTAATACATGCCCTGCAAAATGTATGGATGCTCAAAAGGATGTTGGAAGTTGGTCACAAGTTTTTTAGTTTCTGGAGTTTTATATGTTTGTCTTATCAAACAGTTTTTTGCCTGAATTTCAAGTAACATTTTACTGTAAAAAGAAACTAAATTGTCCTGATTTGTGGAATATCATAATGTTGTAGTCTAATACCATGGGTCTTATTAGAAGAATGCCATCTTCTGGGGTGTGGCGCCATGAAGATCTTGTATGAAGTGACATTTTGGAGGAACATTGCCTCCAGCTTCAGGGTAGAAAAATCCATGAGCAAGGAACCAAAGGGAGGAGGTGACTGCAGCAGTTCACACAAGATCTAGATGACACCACATCCCAGAAGATGGCATTCTTCATAGTCACCGCTGTGAAAAACTGAAATCTTGCATGGTTTTTGTTTGTTTTTATATCTGCATTTAAACTCTCTTAGTTATAAAGGAACTGTTACTGTATCCATGACATCCAAGTATTACTCAAAGCATGAAAGATGTTACTCATAGTCAAGAGGATCTATATTAATTAGAAGAAAATATACATTTACATAGGTCTTATTTAATACCCTTCATTTGTCGTCTGGGTCGTAATGTCATCAAATCCAACAGATTCCTTCATTTGTGCTTACATGCTACATGCACGGAACACAAAGCAATCCATTATAGAGAGACAGAATTTGCATATCATACCCCTTTTTATATTGTCCCTCTTCATGCTCCTGCCATTATGAGCTAATCTCACCAACTGACCCAAAAATCAGATGGAATGACTGAACTAATTTTAGAGTGTTAAATGAGGTATAATATGAGGACATGATTTTTCAACATTTTTTTGCCTCTGTGGTATTGAAACGTCGTAGTTTTTGCTGGTGGGTTAATGGAAATATCACAGTAATGTACATTTTTGTGTTTATAACTGCTCTGTATAAATATTATGTGTGAAGTATAGTGGCTGAAGTAGCAACTTAACTCAGCTGATGACTTTTGCTAATTCGTGAGTTAAAATGCATTGTATGAACTCAAGTATTAGGTCAACACATAGTGTGAACACCATTTAGATGTAAGAAGTGTGCAAGCTGAAAACAATCGAATATGCAGATGTGCAGATTTCATTGGTTTGAATTGAATGAACAATTACACAATGTATAAGCATAGTAGGTCTCAACAGTTTTATGTTTCAAATTATACTGTGGGTAAAGTTATAGTACATAGTACATTTATGAATATAGATTTGTTTGCTTACTGTACCAAGCTATTCAGTAGGTTTTGTTAGCCAAATATCACAATTTGGGGGGGGGGGGTAAATTCTTTTAAAACATTTCCAGAATTTGGTTTCTTTGATGCATGTAACCAAGTTTACTGAAAGCATAGACTGTTTCTTTGCCATCTGCAGTCCACCATCAGTCACTTATCATGTAACAGCTTGGCAGGCAGAAACAATTGAAAATGCATTTGGAAGGAAAGGCTTTTGTAATTGTAATTAATTTCCCAAGAGTAGCTGGAGACTGAGAAGTGTAAATGTTCATGTAGGACTGAAATCTGATATATATTGTAGTGCAGTTTGAAAGTCTGCACTTTGTTTATAATG